AATACTGTGAGACAGATGTGACTTATTAGAAGCCAGGGGTAAAATACTAAGATTTTGATATTAAAAGTATTACAAAGGCCTGGGTGTGAAATGCTTGTTCTCAATATGAAGATACTACTCGAAGGTTGAAGAACCATTAGGAGGGGGGATCTAATGGAAAGAGGGTATGTTCCTCTGGTGAGGATACTGGACCCTTTCCATCTCTCTTTGCTTGCCAGCTTCCATGACAGGGATACAGCTCATCCTCACAGCACTTCCACCATGATGCCCTATGCTGCCACAGGCCCAAGTGAGCAAGTCAAGTGGACACAGACCAATACTGTGAAGCCAGGAGCCACACCACATTTTCCCTCCTTATAAATTCATTATCTCAGACATTTTGTCTTGTAAAGCTAACATAATTTGTTCCTCTAATTGCTAGAACACTGAAATTAGTTATTCTTCTTCTATGGCGCCTCCATCAGGCTGATAGTTGTCATAATCTTATTATCTCTCTAGCACAGTGATCACTGTAAATTAAATCTTGATAAATATTTATTGAGTGTATCAGTACATAGATATAAATAGTAGTATAAATGGCTCTTTATCCTCTCCTCCAAACATGCTTCTCTCTAGATTTTGTGATGAGTGACAGCAATTGAAGAAAATGCAAAATGGGATAGAAAATTACTATTTTAAAAGAATTTGATATTTATAGTAAGAATAAAAGTCTGAGAAGTAAAGGACATTTTGAGAAGAGTTTATGCAATTCACTCCATAGCATAAAGTGGCCCACATTCTCATGGTAATTAGGAACCAGTAGTATAATCTTTTACTCTAAAAAGTACAGCACAAAATTATTATAATAAAAGTAAATACTAGTGAAACTGTGATCTATTTTACAAGTAAAAAATGCAAAGTAGACAAAGACATGGGGTACATATAGCATGCATCCTGAATAATTTGGAAAGGCCTATGTTTTAAAGTTTTGGTACCCAGGAAGATACCATGGGGGAAGCAGCCATAGTTAAGAGGTTAAGCCTAGTGGGAGGTCCATACATCATGGGGTCCTAGCCTTGCAAGGGATTGTGGGAGTCTGGCTGCTTCCCAATTGCCTTTGCTCCACAGCTCCTGATATGGCCTGTTTGGTTCTCTAGTAGGATTTCACCACTATGGACCTCATCACACTTTTAGGCCAAAGCAATAGAGAACTATTGCAGGATTAGGAAGTCTTGAACTCCAAGCCAAATAAACCTTTTTTCCCCAATTTTGTCTCAGGTATTTGTAATAATGACAGAAATCTGACTAATGAAACATTTTTCTTAAAATGAAGCTTACCTGCATGGTATAATTTACTCCGGCTTTTATTAGATGTTTGATTAATTCTGCTGAATGCTGGAAATGAACTTTTGCTGTAAGAAATTAAAATCTTATATTTGAAAACAATACATTTACTAGGGTCCAGAATTTTTCATGTGATTTTCTTAAAGAGATGAATTATTTTCTTTATATTGTACATTAAAAAAAAAAAAACTACTTTGGTTTTGAAAGCTGTTAGATATAATGATTAAATTTAATTTTCCCGTTAAAAAAATACACCAATTCCCCTGGAGTTATAAGTAAGACATCTGTAGAGAATGTTTTATGGCTACAGCTTATTGGATATCACTTATTATATGTAGTTGTTTGCATATTCTGCATCTTATAAATTTTTTAACATAGTAGATGTGTTGGATGGCTATTAACTTAACCAAACTGGTTTCTCCTCCTTTGTGTTCCTTAATGAGGATTACTCGGCCCAGTCTCAGTTAGATGCTGGCATTCTGCTTTATTACAATAAATTAGAACAGAATGCTCATGTTGAGAAAGCAGAGTACACATCTCATTGCTCAAGGGCTAAATATTTAATGTAGAACATACTGGTTATTCCTGTTTCCTTCTGTTGAAATATAAAGTCCAAAAACTCTGAAAAAGGCAACACATTCACTCTCACTTTGGTTGAAGTGTTGGCTAACCTAGCTGTGTAATCTTGGACCAACCACTCAGATTTCTGTGCACGCCGCAGACTGGTCAGATGCCACATGGACTCTTCTTTTCTGCACTGTGTACATCTCTGAATTTCTGTAATTAACATCTGAGTCAGAATTTTTTAACTGTCTTTGCAAAACCAGAGATGCCGTATCAATATTTTAAGGTTTTTAGTATTCTAGTTTCATGATACCAAATAATCATATTCCATAGCATAGGATAAAGAATTCAAAATGATCGTTAAAGTACTTTAAAAATATATCTGAGAACTTTTTCAAAATCTTCCTATTATACTAAATGGGAGAATTATACCAATTTTAAGTAAGGACAAATTGCCTAGTAAATGTGAGCTACTAAGAATGTTAATTAATAGGGAAATCACTGAGATAAAATAATCTTTTATATAGCTCATTTATCTATTGTAGGGATAATACCCTATAATTTCTTCACATAGGTACAGCTAAGAAGACAAATGTACAACTTAGTCATGCTGCATGACTATGCCCTAGCACTCGTGAAACTGATGCTGGAAAACCATAGCCAGTTCAAGCCCAGCTTGGGTTACATAGCGAGACTCTATCTCAACCCCATGTTATAAAGGAAAAGTAGAAATAAATTTTCTTTTTTTAAAATGTATTTAGTACAGGGTCTATAGGGTCACACTACACAGATCAGAATCGTAGTGATCCTCCTGCTTTCAGCCTCCCAAGTGCTGGGATTAAAGCATGTGCCACTACTCCCAGTCTCAGTCATTGTCTTAGTGTACCCCAGGGGAGAGGGGCTGGCACAGCATGCCGGGAATCAAACCCCAGTCCCTGCACCTGCCTAGGCAGGCACTTTAGTCCACTGAGCTGTCTGGCTGACCCTTGAAATAAATTTTGTATTTGTGCTTTTTCTACTTTGTTTCTAGAGCAAAGACAGTGGACATTTTGCATTTGTCTCTTCCCTAGGACTAAATGTGGAAATTAAACTGATTGGCTGTGTGAACTGATTTGTAATTTTTCAAGATACTATTATTAAAGTTAATATTGCAATGTCATTGTAACTGAACAGCCTCTATAGGTTGTGCTTGTGCGCATATGTGTCTGTTTGCTTGTGCATATGTACAGTTCAGTTCCTCTTAAGAAATCAGGACTCAGTTTGTCTGGTTTCTCAGGTAGGTGAAGCAGCAGACGCAGGACTGAGTCAGACAGGACCACCATGGTTTATATTAGTATGGTTATGAGTTGAAAGAATGCTAATTCAGCATAGGTTGTTGGCAAAAGGCAAAATAATTTACCTTTCAGCATAACTGATTCACACAACTGAACTGCAGTATATAACGAATAAGAACCTCAGTACCCTCACGCAAACCTCCTTGAACTCATAATCAGGTGTCTTTTTTTGTTTACTTCTCCAGTTTGCCTACTAAGAAGATAGTAACGAATAAGGAGATAGTAATACCAACTGTGCAGTATTACTGTGTGCTACAAATCACATAATACAAAGTGTCTTGGCACATTTTCTGACAAAAATTAGTACTTAATAACCAATAATTATATTCATTGTTGATGCGTACACTGATGTACAGAACTCTAATTTCCTTTACAAGTGGTATGTTATCCTTCAGCATGTTTCACCCAATAAGGGCATTGCTTTCATTCAGTGTTTTTAGGAATAAATTTCTCAAGTGTAACAGTTTTCATTTTTCAGAGACATTTCTAAGAGATTACAAATAGTTTCTACACATATCTATCCCAGTTTTTCCTTTGGTTACCAGATTGCGTGATTATAGGGCTATTTGTCTTCACTTGTCAAGTAGCCTTGGATGAATTTTTCTTTCTTGAAATTGATTTTTCATAACCATACCTCTGCATGCTCAATGTTCTATTATAAGCTATCACATAATAAAATGAAAATGGAAAGTATTTGTACTCTAAATGGTTAATCTGAGTATAGTTTTTTATTACTGGTAATAGCAATCATGCCCATTTCCCATGTTTAAAGTGATAAAAAATAATACGTGACATGAATGTGACTTTTTTTTGGCTTTAATTTCATTTAAGAGAGTAACCTCCCCAGAATCTGAGGGTGCAACTTGCACGTTTTGTTGGCGCTTGCTGTGCAAGTGCACTTCCAGGCAGAGTGTGCTGGTCTGCAGCCACGGTCTAAACATTGAAGAAACTTCTGATGTCCAGTCGCACTAACTACAGTGTGGCAAAAGGGGCCAGTGGTACTACGCTCACTAGCACAGGTTGGTTGTTCCCGCTGTCACGGGGAAATCATATCGGATGACGCCATTTGAGGATAATCATCTCTCCTCAGCCCTGAAAGGTTTCCATTTTGTATCACGCATCTGCTTCCTTGTACAGGTTCTGTTCCCCTATGCAGCAGCCTCCCAAGGCTCGCCATTTGCAGTCCTAGAATGTATCCCTTTATAAAAGGTCAGATCTCATCGAATAGCAGCAGCACATAAAAACTTACTGTCAGCAGTTCCATGAATTATTAATATATTTTCTTCTTTTAAGCCATGTATATTATGCAGCACACTGGATGCCTATGAAGACAAACACAAATATTTATATCTACAGAAACATCCCAAAAAGCAATTTGACTTCATCTTTAGGATAAAAACGCTCTGTTTTGTCATTTTTAAATTAGTTACCTGGTAAGTGCTTTCTTCCTTCGATGGCATACCAAGATATCTTTCAGAAAAAGCAGAGGCTGTAGACCAACAGAACAGACATTCAAGAATAAATGAAAAGCATAGCACATTTTATTATTTATTTCTAATTTCAAATTTAATTATCATGCTCCAGTGAAATTGATTGAATCAAGGCAATGATAAACAACTGAAAACAGGCTTTACAAAAACATGATAAATGAGCTCAATTGTGCTTTTCTTCTTTGAGATTTTGTTTTCTGCAAATCAATAGATTGTATTAGGTCAGTTTTCAGAACACACTCACCATAGAGCTTCATGTCTGTGATGGGGGCAACTACTGATCCACATTTAAAAAACTTTTCGTCTGATTTTAAGATCATTGATGCAATGTATCCACCATATCCCTGGTGAAAAGCAAACAAGAGAAAGCAATTCTCCGTGGAGATGTTTTTATCTTCTGATCACTGTTTGATAATGTGCACACTAGATTTTCTCCTCATATGTCAGTCTCAAGAAAAGACTGTACAACAATCACTGTGCAGATAAAGATTTTCAACAGCCATTTATTTACATTTATATGTAACAGGTTATTTTAATGACCTTCCTAATGTATAAAATTACTTATCCATCACTAAATGTCAAGTGTTTGTTGCATGGTTCTATCCTATATAATTAGGAACTGTTCCAAATCATTTGAAACTAGGGAAAAAAAGCACTATTTAAAACCCATATTATTTTAAGAAAATTTAATGTACCCATTTTTAATAAAATACTTAAAAAGTAATGATGTTTATAGAGACTTAGCTAGGAGAATAAAATATTTAAAACCCATCATCACAAATATGGATTCTGCTTTTTAATTTCTGATAGAGATTGACCAATAGCACAACAAATTATGACCATAGGAGAACAAAATCTGCCATCTCAAATATGGTTCTCTGGCATAAGGATTATTTTGGGCTGATTATCTTGAGATATATCAGGCACAGTAGCATTTCCAAAAAGAATGATGGAGTTTGCCCTTTTGTGAGAAAAATTTAGATGTATAAAGGATATTTCTTTGTGTCAGGGTATCTCCCTTTTGGAGCAGGAAGAGATGAATGCTTAAATAATTTATGCCTGTCATTCTTGGAGAAAAAGCTAAATTAAATCTGAATAACAAGTTCCACCTGTTTTACGGTAAGCTCCCTACTTGAGTCTTTTACAACCCCTTTTCCTTTGTTTCAAAAAGAAGCAACTTAAACTTGAAGTCTAAGGCAACAATTTGAGATCTACTGTAGAGATTTGCCATTTGTCAATCTCTTATGTATAAGGAAGCATGCATACTAGTACACTTCTGAGCTTTCCTTATGGATTTTACTTTTGCTACAGGGAGTCCTACTGAAGAACACATGAAGAATAGAAGGAAAATTACTTCTTAAAAACTAAGTAGAGTTGTCAAGTTGTCTCTTTTGCAACCTGGTATCTGACCAGAAAACTTCAGAGGATGTTTTAATAATTTACAGAAATGCTATACTAAAGGACTGCCATTACTGAACTTTACATTTTATAAATCAACTGTTAGCTCTTCTCTGAATAATGTTCTTTTTGCCCTTGCATCTGCTTGCAGGTGCTTTAATCTGCTGAACTGGTTGGCTGGCCCTTAATAACGTTCTTGATGCTGCTGAATATCAGAATATATTGGGAAATATTAAACAATACTAATACTCAAGATTTGACTTCTGAAGTGTTGATGAAATTAGACAAGGCAAGGTCTAGTTTTGAGATTTTTTTATGTCCTGATGACATGAGCTTTATGGAGATCAGTTATTATCACTTAACATTTGATGGAAACGATACTTTCCTTATATTTATCTGGAGTATATTTAAAAATTGACTGATGATCTCTAATGCAGCCATCCACCACTGATGTGGCAGAGGCAACAGAGGTAATATGCAGAAGGTTGGCTGAAGCTTTTCCATAAATGTTAAATTAAAGTACAGGATACCATCCTTCATGGATTTTAATTACTTCAAGGTAGATTTGCTCAGTCTTATGGAGAAACAACAGGAGTTATAAATGTGCAAGGCTTGGAAATTTTACACTAATACAGTAATATACTATATATATATATATATATATATATATATAGTATATTCTTAAAGAAAGATAAAGGGGTAAAGAAAATAAATGACTGTTATAAGGCAAATAAAGGGAAGATCCTTGAAAGCTCTGTCCCTAGGAAGAGTATTTCTAGTGTATTGTTGCTCGGTTTCTTATATGTAGACATGAGCAGAATATTAAAGTGAGGATGTCTCAAACATTTCCCTCAAGAGTGATTTTCTTCCTAGAGGTTGCAATGCATTTATAGTCTTAGCTGACACATGCATACATGTTTTCTGGTTTTAATTCCATGACGGCAAACCTACTTTCTAACGGTAATTGTCTGGCTGCTTATGTAACTTCTCTATCCTGAAAGAATAACTGAACATCATAAACCTGCAATTCTAGTCTTCAGTTACATTTAAATATCTGAGATAATAAATTGACATTATGCATTTTTGTTTGGTTTTTTACTTCAGATTTAAATATTTTATATAAGAGTACCTCACAAGGAAAGGCACTCCCTAGAACCACCCGTCGAACCTTGAAGTTCATTCATTTGCATAAAAAGTGATGAATAAACCAGCTAAGGGAGTAGCAAAATAAAAAAGAAAGCTAAAGTTTACACAAGCAGATGGAGAAGAAATAATAGGAAAATTTATTCAATAAATAGTGCTGGAAAACTGAAATTCTACATATCAAAGAATGACCGTTTTATATATTATATATAATAATCAACTCAAAAAGGATAAAGGATCTACATGAAAGATATAAAACTATAAAACTTCTAGAAAAGAACATAAGGAAGAAGCTGCTAGGCTTTCACTTTAGCTGTAATTTGTTGGGTACTGTGCTAAGCTTTCAGGCTACAAGAGCAAAAGTAAATGGGATTACATAAAAATAGAAACCTTTTTGTGTAGCAAAGGAAGCAAGCAGAACAGTGAACCTGGCAATCAGTTCATTAAAAAATAATGGTAAGTCATATATTTGATAAATGTAAGCCTTGAAATTTATGGGAAAAATTGATAAAACTCATGCAGGTAATTGAAGAGTGCACAAAGGGTTAATACAGAAATGGATAACAAGCTCAGAACAAGGTGCTCAACACTGATAATTATAGAAAAAAGTAAGTCAGACTACTCAAAGCTATCACTTTCAATAGACTGATAGCTATTATCAAAAGATACGTGATAGCAAGTATTATCCAGAGGACAGGGAGCCATAGTACATCTTTAGTCGGATATAGGCATCTTAGGGGATGTTGGATTTATTAGGGGATTAGGCATTTATTAAAGAATACTATATGAAGGTTTATGAATTAATTAAAATAGAATTAACATATGACATAATAACCTTCTGGGAAAATGGAAAAATTATAAAATCATCACCTCATGAAGCTATCTACATTCCTATGTTCATTATAACATTATTTCCGATGATGAAGACATGGAAACCAAGTGACACACATTAATAATATAAAGAAACTGGTGCATATGCACAGCGGATAGCACTCAGCCTTCAAAAAGTAGAGCTGGACATTTCTCACAATATGGATGAACCTAGAGAACACTACACTAAATGAAAAATGAGGTAAGTCTTGCACAGAAAGTCAAAGACGCATTACATTTCTTACATGTGGAATGTGAAATAAACCTTAAATGTACAGTGAGAGAATTCAAGCGTGACTTTCAGTGGTATATATCAGATGGTGTATATCAAGATTTACATGCTTGATGCACCAAAGTATCAGGTATGTACACTGTACAAATCTAGCACAGAATGTTCAACATGAGGCTTATAATTTAAAAATTATTTGAGACTTTTGTCGAACAAATAGATGTTATTAGCTGCTTTTGCTAAAAAATAAAACTGAAAAAAAGTGAGATGAATAAAATGATCATTTGCTTGATAGTGGCAACTACTATATTATTTACTGTCTTATATAAACTGGAACGGGTAAAAGAAGAATGAGCAGGAAAAGAAAATATGTATAGACAACAGGTAGATAAGATATACTGCTGATTTTTCTTTCATGGAAGCAGTTTGTGCTTACACTGTTTTATCAGTTATGCATGCCTGTATCTCCTAATCTGAGCAACAACTTTGAAGATAACAGTAGGCAATATATTAACCATTGTTAACATTCTACTATTTTTTAAAATTCTGTATTTTTTTCTTTAAAATAAAATAAAAATAAATTTTAAAAATCGTTATTGTATACCTTTAATGAGTACAGTAAACATCATCTGAGAAAAAATTCTCTTGGAAACTATGTTAAAATGAAGTCAGTAGCTTTTGAATGGACCCAGAAATTTGCATTTTTTCACAACTTTGAGAGGCTACCTGTGAGGTGAGTCACAATTTGAACAACATGTGGATGAAGTGTAATAATATAATAATCCTAACATAAATACTTTCTTGCTCCTCCATGTGTTCTTTACATTGTTGGTACTTTAAGGAAGGATAGGTCGTTAAGAATCCACTGAGATAGAATATTGCACAGAAGCCCACCTACACCTTTACAGTGGAGCCAAAGGGTGCAACCAATGCTGATGCACGAGAAGTACATTTTATCATTTTCTAAAGCATAAAAATTTGAGATTTAATGAGGTTAACTACTCTCTAAGACTTAATGATAGTGAAAGTTGTGGAATAACATTCTTTCCTTAGCATTTAAAAATCAAATCCAAAATGCTGCTTTAATTTGATTTATTTTGGAGAAATAACATCTATTTTTAAAAGTAAATCAACAGTGGTAGAAATTAGAATACATTAAATTTTAATTGCTCACCTTCCTCTCAACCATTTCATATTTATTCATTAAGTATGCGAGTAGATCATGAAAGGGTTTTTGAAGCATATGTTTTGAAGAGGGCAAGAGCTAGATGGAAGCTCTAGCTAGATATAAAATCAGTGATTTTAATTTTTAGAATATCTCATTTCATCAGGCAGATTCCAAGATAGAGGATTATCAGACTGACTCTAGTCCTTTAGATGTCATTTATTATCTGATGTGGTTCAAAAGTACTCAGTCCTAGATACAGGATATTCCTCTTCCGTTGTTCCAAAATTTTACTGGTTTCTTACTTAGCAGATGTTTCCCCTCACTAAGTTGTTTCCAGTTTTCACTTAAGAAGCCCGACAGCAGCAATTACAGCTTGTCAATACATTGATGTTATTATTGGAAACATAATCTAGTGACACTAGAAGTAGAAATGTTTTTTTCCTAAAAATATCAATACAAGAAACAATATTTAAAGGAGAAAGAATTGAAGGAGCCGAGGACGGGAGCACTATGCTGTGTTATTCAGGGCTTAGGTT